TCCCCGCTTATGCTAATGAAGCCCGGGAAATTCAAATCCTGGGCTTCATTAGCAAGTGCGGTATGCATACATTACCCCGCTAGTTCGAACTAGCGGGGGAGTGTAGACATACCCCCTGATATCTGTTGGCAGACCAATACTGCAGTACACAGACAATCCAGGAAGTTTTTGAAGAATGTTGGGGTAACTTCTTGGTACAAGTGCTGCAGGATCCGACCAGAGGCTGTGCGCAGCTTGACCTACTGCTCACAAACAGGGAGGAGCTAATAGGGGAAGTGGAGGTGGGTGACAACCTGGGAAGCAGGGATCACGAGATGGTAGATTTCAGGATCCTGACGAAAGGAAGAAAAGAGAGTAGTAAAATACATACCTTGAACTTCAGAAAAAAAGACTTCGACTCCCTCAGAGACCTGATGGGCAGAATCCCCTGGGATGATAACATGAAGGGGAAAGGAGCCCAGGAGAGCTGGCAGTATTTTAAAGAAGCTGTATTGAAAGCACAGAAAGAAACCATTCCAATGGATAGCAAAAGAAGCAAATATGGTAGGAGACCGGATTGGCTCACCTTGGAAATCCCTGGAGAATTTAAGCACAAAAAGGGAGTTTACAAAAGGTGGAAACTTGGAGAGATGACTATGGAGGGGTATAAATGTATAGCTCGAGAATACAGGGGAATTATCAGGAAGGTGAACGCGCAATTGGAATTGCAACTTGCAAGGGATGTGAAGGATAACAACAAAGGTTTCTACAGGCATGTTAGCAAGAAGAAGGTGATCAGAGAGGGTGAGGGGCCTCTACTCAATGAGGGCAGTAACCTAGTGACAGATGATGTGGGGAAAGCTGAAGTACTTAATGCTTTCTTTGCCTCTGTCTTCACGGACAAGGTCAGCTCCCAGACAAATGCACTAGGCAACGCAGTATGGGAAGGAGGTGGATAGCCCTTGGTGGGAAAAGAACAGGTTAGGAACTATTTAGAAAAGCTGAACGTACATAAATCCATGGGTCCAGACTTAATACTATGCAAGATGTGACATGATGGTGAGGGCTCAGAAAGGAGATTTTGGTGGCTGTATGGACAATAGGGGAGAGGCTGGATTTCAGGGAGATTGTAGAACTGGTGCACAGAAAGACATGGACAGATGACTAGGGAGGCGTATACATATATTGCTTGAGGATGCAGTTGAAAAATCATAAAGGGGATCCTCAAGGAATCCATTTGGAAGCACTTGGAAATGGGGAAGGTGATCAAGAATAATCAGCATGGATTCAGGAAGGGCAAGTCGTGCCTGACCAATCTGATTAGCTTCTATGATGAGGTAACTGGCTCTCTGGATATGGGGAAGTCAGTGGATGTTATATACCTTGACTTTAGCAAGGCTTTTCATACAGTCTCCAACAACGTTCTTGCCGGAAAGTTAAGGGGATGTGGATTGGATAAATGGACAGTAAGATGGATAGAAAGCTGGCTGGAAGGGCGAGCCCAACAGGTAGTGATCAATGACTCGATGTCAGGATGGCAGTCAATTTCTAGTGGACTGCCCCAACGTTCGGTTCTGGGACCGGTTTTGTTCAACATCTTTATTAATGACCTGGATGAGGGGATGGATTGCACCCTTAGCAAGTTTGCAGATGACACTAAGCTAGGGGGAGAGGTAGATACACTGGAGGGAAGGGATAGAGTCCAGAGTGACTTAGACAAATTGGAGGATTGGGCCACAAGAAATCTGATGAGGTTCAACAAGGACAAGTGTAGAGTCCTGCACTTGGGACGGAAGAATCCCAAGCACTGTTACAGGCTGGGGACCGAATGGCTAAGTAGGAGTTCAGCAGAACAGGATCTGGAGGTTACAGTGGATGAGAAGCTGGACATGAGTTAACAGTGTGCCCTTGTCGCCAGCAAGGCTAATGGCATACTCGGTTGCATTAAGAGGAGCATTGCCAGTTGATCCAGAGATGTGATTATTCCTCTTTACTCGACTCTGGTGAGGCCACATCTAGAGTATTGTGTCCAGTTCCGGGCCCCCAATTACAGGAAGCATGTGGATGCATTGGAGAGGGTCCAGCGGAGGGCGACCAAAATGATTAGGGTGCTGGAGCATATGACCTATGAGGAGAGACTGGTGGATTTGGGTTTGTTTAGTCTGCAGAAGAGAAGAATGAGGGGGGATTTGATAGCAGCCTTCAGCTTCCTGAAGGGAGGTTCGAAAGAGGCTGGAGAGAGGCTGTTCACAGTAGTAATGGATGGCAGAACAAGGAACGATGGTCTCAAGTTACAGTGGGAGAGATCTAGGTTGGATATTAGGAAAAACTATTTCAGTAGGAGGGTGGTGAAGCACTGGAATGGGTTATCTAGGGAAGTAGTGGGGTCTCCATCCCTAGAGGTGTTTAAACCTTGGCTTGACAAAGCCATGGCTGGGTTGATTTAATTGGGATTGGTCCTGCGTTTGGCAGGGGGTTGGACTTGATGGCCGTCTAAGGTCTCTTCCAGTTCTATGATTCTGTGAACTGGCTGGATAACTGTTCTCAGAGAGTAGTTATGATTCACAATGCTGCTGGAAAGGTATAATAAGTGGGGTTCCTCATGGAGTCTGTTTTGGGACCGGTTCTGTTCAATATCTTCATCAATGATTAACTTATTAAGTTTGCAGATGATATGAAGCTGGGAGGGGTTGCAACTGCTTTAGTGGATAGGGTCATAATTCATAATGATCTGAACAAATTGGGGAAATGGTCTGAGGTAAACAGGATGAAGTTTAATAAGGACAAAGGCTAAGTGCTTCACTTAGGAACAATCAGTCTCGCTCATACAGAATGGGAAGCGACTGCCTAGGAAGGAGTACTTCAGAAAGGATTCTAGGGGTCATAGTGAACCACAAGCTAAATATGACTCAACAGTGTGACGCTGTTGTAAAAAAAAGCAGACATGATTTTAGGATGCATTAACAGGTGTGTTGTGAGTAAGACACGAAAAGTCATTCTTCCACTCTATTCTGCGCTGATTAGGCCTCAGTTGGAGTATTGTGTCCAGTTCTTGGCACCACATTTCAAGAAAGATGTGGAGAAATTGGAGACGGTCCAGAGAAGAGCAACAATAATGATTAAACGGCTAGAGAACATCACCTTTGAAGGAAGGCTGAAAGACTTGGGCTTGCTTAGTTTGGAAAAGAGACGATTGAGAGGGGACGTGATAGCGGTTTTCAGGTATCTAAAAGGGTGTCACAAGGAGGAGGGAGAAAAATTGTTCTTTCTGCCTCTGAGGATAGAACAAGAAGCAATGGGCTTAAACTTCAGCAAGGTTGGTTTACGTTGGACATTAGGAAAGCTTCCTAACTGTCAGAATGGTTAAACACTGGAATAAATTGCCTAGGGAGGTTGTGGAATCTCCATCTCTGGAGATATTTAACAGTAGGTTAGATAAATGTCTATCTGGGATGGTCTAGAAAGTACTGGGTCCTGACATGAGGGCAAGGGTCTGGACTCGATGACCTCTCGAGGTCCCTTCCATTCCTAGTATTCTATGATTTAATTTTCTGGTTCAGAGCTCTGTGAGTATAGATTCCTCTCTTCATGCATCAATGAGCTCCAAGGTCTCCTTCACACTCCATGCTGCTGCTCATTTGCATCCATAGGAACTGGAGGTTATGGAACTTGAACTCATGACAAGGTGTGCTGCTCTATTTTGGTGCTTACTCTGAGGTGTGCTCACCACGCTATCCATCACGAAGTGAAATTCAAAGTTTCTTGGGGCTTTTCATGTTCACATGTAGAGCAATAGAGTTGCAAGTCCTGACCAGCGTGGTCACAGTGGGGCATTGTGGGATGCCTCCCAGATGCCAAGAACAGCGACTTTCACATCCCTGCATCTACACTACCGTAAAGTGGACTGTGTAAGGTTAAATTTAGCATTACTCCTTGTGAAAAGCAGGCGTACTGAAATCGATTTTAGCAGCCCTTAAAGTCGACAGAACAGGCTTGGTAGTGTGGACTTATTGTTTAGAAAATGGTCCTTATGCGACTAAATTCGATCTAAACTCCTAGTGTAGACCAGGCCTCAGTGTCCCTCTATAGTCATCCAGTGCCTCTGCAATGCTGTTTCAAACTCCCAGCCACCCCTGTAGTGTCTTCCACCCATCAGCTCCATTCCTAAAATCCCTAGAACTGCCTGTTATAGCTCCTGTTCCCTGTCCCACTCTAGTATTCCAGTCCCATTCTAGTATACCATCACAGTATTCTCCCACAGTTCCCCAGTTCTTCCTCTAGTACTTCCTAACAGTCTCTATCCTAGCCACATCTCCTACCCCAACAGTCCCTGTGTCACTTCTAATATTCCTTAACAGGCCCCTCAGCTCTTAGTGCCTCCCAGCAACCTCTAAAATCTCTGGCATCTTCATGGTATCCCCGAGGCCACCTTGTATTCCCTCACATTCCCCAGTGTCATCCTATATTCCCTTCTCAGCCTAAGTACCTCATCTTCCCCAGTGACACCCCAGTACAGTTAACAGTTCCCATAACTCATCCACTCTCCAATCTCCCACACACACCAGTTAACCCCCTCACAACCCAAGCATCCAATATCCCCATCCTCCCTGTGCTACTCCCAACTACCCACCCATCTTCCTAGTAATCTAACTATATCCATATGGGCTACAGTATTATCCCTTGTACTTCCTGCCACTCTGTGCATTTCTCCCTCATCCCCTGTGCTACTCCTTATACTCCCCACCTACCTACGTATTTTTAGTGTTTCCACGGTGCTCCATATATACCCATTACTCCCTCCAGCATTGCCCATCATTTATAGTTCCTATATTCCACTGTACCACCTTATATCTGCAACATGTTCCTCACACTCCTCAACTTTCCAATTCCTTCTGGTTCTTCCCCAACACATAACAGGCTCCTTTAGTAATGTAATGGATCTGTACTAATGAAGGATCAGTTATAATTACAGGACGTTAACTTAATATGTTTCTTTCCAGGGAGAAGTTTAAAATAAAGAAAATGGCTAGCAATCACAAGCCACCTACAGCCCGTCCTGCTTCAAGAGGTGTGGGGCTGACAACCAGGCCTTCTTCATCCTTGTTACGGACTCCATCAGCTGCCAGAGTGGGAACAGGGGTGTGTTAAAATGATTTAATGTTTTGAATGTTTAGATTTTATCCTGATTTTTTTTTTATCATGAAGCATCTGGTGACCACAATAATTCTAACTGCACAGCAGTTTGTATAATTTTTGGTGCTTCCTATTTCTTTCTTTATTCCAAGAATATTTGTCTACTGCATGGGTTTTCAAACTATGGTATATTGCAGAGGTGTCAAGTTACTCTGTCAGTTGCTTTCCATATGATTTTCTTCATGTCTAGGGAGTAGTTTACATTGTCTTCCCGTTGCCTCTGGTGGTCTTATTCTGGTATGGCAGGCAAAGGCCAAGACCCATAGTATTTTAAAGATCACTAGATATATAAGCTTAATGCTGCCAGCATCTGGGTACCCTCAAAGGAGCAAAATCCATTTTGCTGAAGTCACAAAGCATCTGCTGATACGCTTTGGGACTGATCAAACAGGCTTGGACTTTCTCAGTACAACCCATGGTTAGAAAGACTTGGCTCTTCCCTAACAATCTCTCCTCTCAAACCAAACTAGTAACATTGGAGGAGCAAAAAATTACTTTCCTTAATGTATGTATTTTTCAGTAGCCAGTAGGCTAGTTTTAGCCTATACCTAGGTTGAAATTAGATTCTAATAAAGCGTAGGCAATTTCTGTAAATGCAAGTGTTATATGTGAGGCATGAGATTGGAGAAAAACATAAGTCTCACTTTATAAATAGAAACCTGAGATTTATAGTACTATTTGGGGAGAGTACAAAGGTCAGGGAGAAAAACAATGTCAAGAATATACATAAAATAGTCTTGCATCTCAAAAACAAATCTAAAAAGATGTCTGTATTATATAATTTAGGTTTAGTTTTGATAATACAGTATTTATATTTACTTCTAAATTTTTTGGTATACCTTATCTACAAGAAAACTATTGCTAAAGATCTAATGCTTCATGAAAAATATTCCTAACAGCTGCATAACGAGTGATTTATTATTCTGTTGTCCTTGTCTAGATGATCCCTGGTACATCACGACCTGGTACTCGTGGTGGTCTAATAGGTACTGGAGGGGTGTTGTCATCTCAGATTAAAGTTGCAGACCGTCCAGTGACACAACAAGGATTAAGCGGAATGAAAACTGGAGTGAAAGGTATTTTAATATATGAAGAAGTATCCTAACCGCTGTCAATACAATATGGGGAAAGTGGATGACCGAGGGGTTTTAGTGCCTCTAGTCTGGGACAGAAACTTGAAATATGGCACTGAGAGAGTCACTGGGCCAGGCATGCTTTTAGAGGCCCTTGGGAAGTTTTGGCAGAATGTACGGGGGGTTAAAAATATGGTTTGTTGTGCATATATTTGAATAACAGTCTAACTGTTCTTTCCACGTCAGGCAAGCATAAGTGAATTAGTTGAAAGGAATTTTCTGTCTGGATGGATGTGCCTTGCCTGTTTCTATAGAAAGTTTGATGTTCATGTGGAATTTGGAATTTTATTTTATATGATCTACTAATATGCATATTGAATGGGACAAAGGTGCAAATGAACCAGCCTCCTGTTTTATCATTTTTTTCCTCAGCCCAATTTCTGGGTAGAATGTCTGTGGTTTTGAGAGAGAAAATTTAGGTTGCAAAGTGAAGCATTTGAAAATCTGCTTCTTGTGCTAGTGCTTTGATACATTCTGATTATGCGAGTGTGTGTTTTGTGCAAGCCCACCGACAGGGGAGGGCAAAGGTGGCAATTGCCCTGGATCCTGGTGATTCTGAAGGACCCGACGCTGCCAGCCACTGTTACTGTGGCAGCAGCGGGGGGTGGAGCTCAGGGCCCTTTAAATTGCCATGGGAGCACTACACAGTGCACTCCAGAGTCCCAGGCTGTGCACTCTGAGCAGTTCAGCGGGCCGGTGGAGGGAACCGCACTAGGGACTGGCTATTTCTCCTCCACCTCTTCCCCCCCCCCCCCAAAGTCACCATCTTATCCAGGAGCAAGAGCCGCACCCCCCACATTGTCCAAAGGCCCAGCAATCATGTCAGCCAGCCACTTTGGTTTTCTGTATTAAATGAGACAGGATTACATAGTGAATTAATGAGTTGCCATGTGCTTTCATCACTCCTTTTAGACAAATTCTTTTTTCAGTTAACTTGGTGAAATTTCAAAGTGAATCAGTAAGGCTTATGGATCTAGAGAAAGAGGTAAACAGTGAAAACTATTCAAGGTAGTTAAGACCAAAGCAGACTTTGAAGAGCTTCAAAAAGATCTCACCAAACTAAGTGATTGGCCTACAAAATGGCAAATCAAATTTAATGTTGATAAATGTAAAGTAATGCCCATTGGAAAAAATAATCCCAACTGTATATACAATATGATGGGGACTAATTTAGCTATAACTACTCGAGAGAGAGATCTTGGAATCACCGTGGATGGTTCTCTGAAAACATCCACTCAGTGTGCAGCAGCAGTCAAAAAAGCAAATAGAATGTTAAGAATAATTTAAAAAGGGATAGAGAATAAGACAGAGAATATCTTATTGCCTCTATATAAAATAATGGCATGCTGACATTTTGAATACTGCGTACAAATGTGGTCACCTCATCTCAAAAAAGATATATTAGCATTGGAAAAAGTTCAGGAAGGGGCAACAAAAATTATTGGGGGTTTGGAACGGGTCCCATATGAAAAGAGGTTTAAAAGACTTGGACTTTTTAGCTTAGAAAAGAGGAGACTAAGGGGGAATATGGTAGAAGTCTATAAAATCATGACTGGTGTGGAAAAAGTGAATAAAGAAAAGTTATTTACTTAGTCCCACAATATAAGAATGAGAGGTCCTCAAATGAAATTAATAGGCAGCAAGTTTAAAACAAACAAAAGAAGCTTTTTCTTTGCTCAGCACACAGTCAACCTCTAGAACTCCTTGCTATAGGATACATTGAAGACAGGGACTTTAAGAGGGTTCAGAAAAGAGCTACATAGGTCCATCAGTTAGCCAAGATGAGTAGGAATGGTGTCCCTAGCTTCTGTTTATCTGTAAATGGGTGACAGGAGGGGCATCAAATGAAGATTACCTATTGTATTCCTTTCCTCTGGTGCATCTGGTATTGGCCACTGTCAGCAGACAGGACACTGGGCTAGATGGACCTTTGGTCTGACCCAGTATGGCTGTTCTTTATGCACTCTGAATTTACACTGCTGTAATTGATGATAAGTTTTGTCCCTCAGCTACAGGATGAATACCACATAACAATTAAGGACATGGTATGAGGACTTAGAAAATATATATATTGTATCTTAGACTTCCTTACTAGAAGATTTAACTGATATTGCTTGGGGATCTTAGCTCAAATAAGTTTTGTTTCTATTTAAGTCATTGTTCTGGGGTGGGATAAGGGGTTCAGTATGCAGGCTGCCTGGGGATAGAGGACAACCCCAGCCCTCTGTCATGATAGCAGCTTGGGGCCAGGTGAGAAGCATCTGTCCATGGCCACTGCAGCTCTAGCAGGCACATCCAGGGGAGAAGTACATGTCCCCTAGCTGGAGCAGGATCAGGTTTATTTGCTTCCTGCACTCCCCAGCCAGAGTGAGGAATACAGTAAACTGTTCCCTTTCCCCTCACTCCATGATGAAGGGGAACAGCCAGCAATGTTCCAGTAGGGATGGGGGGCGCTTTCCATGTGCTGCCCCCACCCTGAGCACTGATTACACTACTGCCATTGGCTGGGACTGTCGTCAGCAGAAGCTGTGGGGACATTGTCTGCAGGCAGGAGCAACCTTCAGAGCTACCTGGCTACCCTTGATCCTAGGAATCAGACATGCCAGATGCTTCTGAGAACTGCTCAAAATAATTACCACCTGGCTGGAGCCCACACCTTTCAACCCCCTACACTTCAGACTCCTGCCCCAGCTCTGAGCCTCCTTCTGCACTCTAGACCCCTCAGCTCCAGCCTGTAGCCCCCTCCTGAATCGAAACCTCTGTTCTTTGGACCCATGCTAGAGCACACGCTCCCAAATGGAGTCTTCAGCCCTTCCCCCATCCCAACCCAATGACCAGACTGCTGAAAGTGAATGAGGTTTGGGGAGAGTGAGCAATGGAGGGAGAGGAGATAGCGTGAGCTGTGGTGGGGCTTAGAAAAGGTAAAGGGGCAGAGCCTCAGGTAACGGTTAAGGGCAGGAGGCAGGGCAAGGGTGTTTGGGCTTGTACAGTTAGAAAGATGGTAGCCTGGGGATATCCTTGGTGAGCTTAAACACAAAAAGGAAGCTTACAAGAAGTGGAAACTGGGACAGATGACTAGGGAGGAGTATAAATATACTGCTCGAGAATGCAGGGGAGTTATCAGGAAGGCAAAAGCACAATTGGAATTGCAGCTTGCAAAGGGATGTGAAGGATAACAAGAAAGATTTCTACGGGCATATTAGCAATAAAAGGGTCATCGGAGAGGGTGTGGGGCCCTTACTGGATGACGGAGGTGACCTAGTGACAGATGATGTGGGAAACGCTGAATTACTCAATGCTTTCTTTGCCTCTGACTTCATGGACAAGTTCAGCTCCCAGACAAATGAAGTAGATAGCCCTTGGTGGGAAAAGAACAAGTTGGGAACTATTTAGAAAAACTAAACATACACAAATCCATGGGCCCGGATTTAATGCATCCGAGGGTACTGAGGGAGTTTGCAAATATCATTGCGGAACCTTTAGCCATTATCTTGGAAAACTCATGGAGATTGGGAGCGATCCTAGATGATTGGGAAAAGGCAAATGTAGTCCCCATCTTTAAAAAAGGAAAGGAGGACAATCCAGGGAACTACAGACCAGTCAGCCTTACCTCAGTCCCCAGAAAAATCATGGAGAGCATCCTCAAGGAATCCATTTTGAAGCACTTGGAAGAGGGGAAAGTGATCCAGAATAGTCAATATGGATTCACCAAGGGAAGTCGTGCCTGACCAATCTGATTAGCTTCTATGATGAGGTAACTGGCTCTGTAAGTATGGGAAAGTCAGTGGATGTGATATACCTTGAGTTTAGAAAAGCTTTTGATGCGATCTCCTACAATATTCTTGCCAGCAAGTTAAGGGAATATGGACGGGATAAATGTACCGTAAGATGGATAGAAACCTGGCTAGACTATTGGACCCAACGGGTAGCGATCAACGGCTCGATGTCATGTCAGCGGTTGGTTTCTAGTAGAGTGCCCCAAGGATCTGTTCTTGGACTGGTTTTGTTCAGCATCTTTATTAATAACCTGGATGAGAGGATGGATTGCACCCTCAGCAAGTTTGCAGATGACACTAAGCTAGGGGGAAAGGTAGATACAGTGGAGGGCAGGGATAGGGTCCAGAGTGACCTAGACAGATTAGAAGATTGGGCCACAAGAAATCTGATGAGGTTCAACAAGGACAAGTGTAGAGTCCTGCACTTGGGACGGAAGAATCCCAAGCACTGTTACAGGCTGGGGACCGAATGGCTAAGTAGGAGTTCAGCAGAACAGGATCTGGAGGTTACAGGGGATGAGAAGCTGGACATGAGTTAACAGTGTGCCCTTGTCGCCAGCAAGGCTAATGGCATACTCGGTTGCATTAAGAGGAGCATTGCTAGTCGATCCAGAGATGTGATTATTCCTCTTTACTCGACTCTGGTGAGGCCACATCTGGAGTATTGTGTCCAGTTCTGGGCCCCCAATTACAGGAAGCATGTGGATGCATTGGAGAGGATCCAGCGGAGGGTGACCAAAATGATTAGGGGGCTGAAGCGCATGACCTATGAAGAGAGACTGAGGGATTTCGCTTTGTTTAGCCTGCAGAAGTGAAGAGTGAGGGGGGGATTTGATAGCAGCCATCCAGAAAGGATGGAGAAAGGCTGTTCACAATAGTGACAGATGGCAGAACAAGGAGCAATGGTCTCAAGTTACAGTGGAAGAAGTCTAGGTTGGATATTAGGAAAGGCTATTTCACTAGGAGGGTGGTGAAGCATTGGAATGGGTTACCTAGGGAGGTGGTGGAATCTCCATCCTTAAAGGTTTTTAAGCCTCGGCTTGACAAAGACCAGGCTGGGTTGATTGAGTTGGGATTGGTCCTGCATAGAGCAGCCTCTTTCCAGCTTTATGATTCTTGATGACCTCCTTCCAGCTCTATGATTCTATACCTCCTCTCCCTTCCTTCCTCCTCCCGCCAATCCCACAAGAGAAAGTCTTCTATGTGGACCCCTACTAATGGTCGCAACAAGAGTCTTGACTTCTACATTGATTGCTTCTGCAAACGTGCATGGGCTAACAATAGAATATAACCTCAGTCATGCAGAACGTAATGCTATTTGCAGTCTCAAAAACAATTCTAACAATCAAAAAGACTGACAAAGGGGGCACTGTAGTCATCATGAAAGAACAGATTATGAACAGAAGGCAACTCACTAACACCAGTTTCTACAAGCTTCTCTCCTCTGATCTCACTAAAGAATTCCTTATAGTGTTCACGATCTTGGGAGAAATTTGAAAAATTAATGTTAAAAGAAAACATAGATTGAGCCTCTTTCTAGCACTGTAGAACACCATTTAAATACTTTACAAGAAATGTTTATATAATTGTAATCAAATTGTGCTTCTGCCCCCAGCAAAATCCCACTGGCCAGTTGCTGGCCAATGGGAGCTGCTTGTTTGAAGCACAGCAGCCATCGAATTATCACTTCTCCCTTCAGGCTCATAGCTATTCAGAGAAACACATGGCCCCTGCAGGCTGGGCTGGGCTGGGCTGGGCTGGGCTGGGCTGCTGGCAGAGTCACCCAGGTAAGTCTCCAGACCAGAGCCTGTGCCTGTGACACCCCAGCTCCTCCCTCCCACCAACCCTTTGCCCCCCCACTCCTGCTCTCCTACCCCACATAAACCAAACCTCTGCCCTCCTCCTGCACCCATACCGCCTCCCAGACTCTGCACTCAATACTCTCCTCCAGATCACAACTCCTTCCCGCTGTATGTCAGTACCCAAATCTGTGTACCCCCTTCTTCACCCAAACTCCCTACCAGACACCACACTCCCTCCTGCACCCCAATTCTTTACCCCCCAGCTCCTTTCTGCACCCAATCTCCATGCCAGATCGTTTACCTTCTCCATTAATATGAAAGAGTGCAGCCCTTGACCACTTTCCAAATTCTTGGAGTGGCCCCCCATCAAAAATTATTGCCCACCCCTATCCTAGAATCATCATGGCACAGGTGTAAAAGAAAGAGAAGGTAAATAGAATCTAGTCTTACAGTAAATTGTTTGACAGAGATCCTGCTAATTCATATGCAATCTCTTGTTTAGGCTGTGCAGCGAATCTGTTTCTTTATGTGCTATGATGTTTATCCAGTAGAACTGGGAGAATGAATGTGATGCATCTCGTGGTGACTTTCAGCTTCATACAAAGAGTGAAAAGAGATGCAGCTCAGGGCGGGGATATTCTGTGGTGGTGGGGAGTTGTTTGGTTTTCGTTTCTGAAGGACTCATTCAACCTGATGATGTGGCTGGGCCAATATAAACTTGCTGGGAAAGTCAGAGCTTGGGAGGCTGGAGCAGCACTGAGGAACCAAATCTAAAGGCTAGATTTCTGAATCCTGTCTCATTTTTGGATGATTTCACCCTTTATGAACGTTAATCTCAGAAACTGTCCATTGCTTAGGTAATCTAAATCTCCACCAAAAGTAAAATACATCTCCGCTTTCAGTTGTATTTATTGTATAAAAGCTCTATGAGGACATTCTGAGGGTGTTGGTTCTGTTTTTGGAGTATTACTTCAGCTGGTCCTTTTGTGAACTTAGTTTGTCTCATTAAAACATTCTCTTATGATAAAATGTTACTTGTCCTTTGTTAGGTCCTCAGAGACAGATTATGGATAAATCCTATTATCTTGGACTTCTTAGGTATGTAAACGACAGCACTTTTAAATTGTAGCATGGTTGTTTTCTCCCTCCCTACACCCATACCAAGTGATAAAATATAACAGCATAAATCTAGGAGTAGCCATGTTCATTAGTGTGGATTAGGTTGGCTGTTCACTTATGAGAAATTCTCCCCATTATAAAGCTGTACAGGGTCGCCTCTGGATACTCTGTCCTGGTGTATCTTTCAACTATATTTCCAGGAATAAATTTGCTAAATTAACATTATTTTTCACTATTCCCCTAAGTATCTTATATAACACTTTGTCATGTTTAGTCCAATTTCTGTGTTGGTTGGACACTTCTAAATCCTATCCTCTTACATATTGAGTGAGCCCATGTTATGAAGTAGGATTGTTCTGTTGGAACAACTCTACTTTGCAGTTACATAAAAGGGGAGAAAATTGAAATAAAAAAAGTTACGCTATCCTAGTACAATGCTTTATAACTTTTTAAGAGGTTTTTTTAAAGAACCCCATTTTTATTGCTTCAGCTGCTGTTAGAGTTTTTTGAGACATCCTGTAATACGAGAGATACCTTGAATACATACACATTTATGATATAGTATAAACTGTATCCTACAGTATTTTAGTAAATTTTAAACATACAAGTAACTTTTTAATTTTCTTTTCTGTAGAAGCAAAATAAGTGAACTCACAACAGAAATAAATAAGCTTCAAAAAGAAATAGAAATGTATAACCAGGAGAATTCTGTCTATCTTTCATATGAAAAGAGGTGAGTCATATTGCAGTTAATGCAATGTTAGCATAGCCCAGGGCTCCTCAACTTCAGGGGCCACAATGATACTCTCAGCACATGCCGAGGGCCACAGCTTAAGTGTGGTTGCATATATGTGCAAATATATATGCAAATAGTGTCTTTCACACTTATCTCCATTTCCATTTATCTCTGCAAAAGCGAATTCCATCTCCCAAACAAGGTTGAAAACCCTGTGTTTATCCAACAAGCATGTCGTCTTTGTTGCCATTTTTAATGCTTCTTATTAAAAAGAAAATTGCATACCAGCTTGAAGCTTCAGGGTGTGTGTTTCCTGGAGTGATTTTACTGTAAAAAGAAAAGTTTCCAAGCCAGAGCACTCCAACCTGCGGCAGGCCAGGAGCTGGGCTAGTCAGGCCAGATGCAAGAGGCAAAAAAAGACAGGTGTCTGGATTCCCAGCAGGGCTGACATCCTCACATGGGAGTCCATTGCTCCGTACGGGATGGAGGTGGGGCTGGCCGGCCTCAGTGCCAGACCCAAACATGGCCAGTGTCAGCCAGTCAGCACCACTCCAGGTTCTGCCCACGAGGCTAAGCAGCCAGCACTTCCCACAATGCCCCGGTGCTCCCGCACCTCCTCCCTAGGAGCTAGAGACACTGACAGCCTGTATCTGTCTGTTCCAGCCAGCCCATCCACTTGTGTCTTTCAGTGCTCACCCTGCCTGGGAGATGCCTCACTGTTGTGGAGCGTATTCCCTGTGGAGGCCATGTTCAAAGGATCCCACCCGCGAGCCGCATGTTGAGTCCCACGTAAACCCAAACGACACCGCGGGCCGCAAATAAATGGGCTGCAGGCCACATGTGGCTATGTGTTGAGTAACCCTGGCATAGCCAAATATCTTGTCAAGACATCATATTAGACTGTCAATACTGTGCAACCTACAGAACACTAAAAATGGATACTTGTTCTGATTTTGCTTTATGTATAACGATCTCATAAATTTGAATTTTTGTTTTTACATAGGGCAGAGATTTTAGCTGGTGAAATCAAAGAATTTCAAGGTCAACTAGCAGACTACAATATGGTATGCTATTCTTGGCTTTCCCCCATTTCTTTTGCATGGCGGACATACTTGCAGTATATTTTAATGACATTTCTCCATTTAAAAGATTTACCGTTTAAAATTGCTTTAATCCACTTATTTAAGTGAATACAAATGCTTGGCTAGTTGTTTCTATCTTGGCTAATAGCCATTGATGTGCCTAACTTCCATTAACTTGCATGTTTTTAACCCAGTTACAATTTTAGTTTTCACAATGTTGCCTGGTAACAAGTTTCACAAGTTGACTGTTTAAAGAAATACTTCCTTTTGTTTGTTTTAAATCTGCTGCAGATTCATTTCATTGGGTGACCCTTACTTCTTGTGTTTCGTGAAGGGGTGAATAATATTTCCCTATTCATTTTCTCCAGAGTATTCATTATTTTATAGACCTCTATCAAATCTCCCCTTAATCATCCGTTTTCTAAGTTTAATAGTTCCATTCTTTTTAATCTCTCCTCATATGGCAGCTTTTCAGTGCCTCTCATCATTTTTGTTTGGCTGCTTTGTACCTTTTCTAATTCCAATACAGGCAGTCCCCGGGTTACATCAATCCGACTTACGTTGGATCCCTAGTTACAAACGGGGGGGGGAGCACAGCTAGTGCGGGGTGCTTCCCCCACTGTCGCCGCCTCTGGGCAAGAATGGGGAGGAGCAGGACAGAAGGGAAGAGGGGATAGGCCCCAACCCCACACCCTGGCTGGAGCGGAGCAGGGTAAGCCCTGAGGGGATGGGTCTGGTTGCAAAGTGGGTGAGTGGACAATGAGGACCCACCTGTGGCTAAACTCCTGTTCCCAACACAGAATTTTTCTTTAAAATTAATCCTGTGGATAAATTCACACACACACTTCACAGGAAGGGATTTCCATTTTCTGCTCAGCAGAATACAACAACAGCTTTGATTGTATCAATATTTCACTGTGCTCTCCAATGACTATTGATTACACTTAATACCCATTTCACTGAACCATCTGTAGCAAATTCTATTTGGAACAGTAATATGCATTGAATAAACTTTTTTTAGTTATAAAAAACAAAGATTCTGACTATTAAATGAATAACTGGGATCTTTCAGGTACCCCAAAAGGAAGATTTGGATATAGCATGAAACACTGAAACTTATGATCAATTTTTAATTAAAATATCAACCAAAAAAACCTTCATATCAAAACAGTATGTGTTTTTCTTAGAATAAGGAAGTTGTATGAGAATCAGGGTCTTTTCCACCTAACTCCAGCTCCCCATCTTTAATTAAAATATCAACCAAAAAAACCTTCATATCAAAACAGTACGTGTTTTTCTTAGAATAAGGAAGTTGTATGAGAATCAGGGTCTTTTCCACCTAACTCCAGTTCCCCGTCCCCCCAAAATATGTACCAGTTCCGACTTACATACAAATTCAACTTAAGAACAAACCTACAGTCCCTATCTTGTACGTAACCCGGGGACTGCCTGTATACCTTTTTTGAGATGGAGTGACCAGGACTACAAACAGTATTTAATGTGCAGGAGTACCGTGGATTTATACAGTAGCATTATGATATTTTACATGTTATCTATCTCTTTCCTAATGGTTCCTAACATTCTGTTAGCTTTTTCTGGCTACAGCTTCACATTAAGCAAATATTTCCATAGAACTGTTCTTGATGACCCACAATCTTTCTTGAGTGGTAACGGCTACTTTGGAGCCCTTCATTTTGTATGTATAGTTTTGTTTTGTGTTTTCCAATGTCTAGCACTTAGCATTTTTCAAGATTAAATTTCAACTGCCATTTTGTTGCACAGTCACTCAGTTTTGTGAGATCCCTTTGTAACTCTTCACAATCTAATTTGGACTTAATTGTCTTGAATAATTTTGTACAGGTTGTACTTCCCTTAATTGGGGCTTCCTGATACGGTAATATCCATGGTCCAGCATGAACCATGGATGTTCCTGGACCACAGAGCCCAGGTAGAAGGAGGACTGGCAGTGAAGCAGGACCGCTGTAACGAGCACCAGCAGCTCAGCCAGAAGCCCAGAGTGTGTGGGTGGAAGGAGGTTGGGGGGTATGGTGCGGAGCTCTAGACTTGCCATGGCCATGGAATTCAAGCCCCAGCCAGGGAGCTCTGGTTCTGTCCCTGGCTGCGGAACTCCAGCCACATTTTGGTTCTACTAGCCAGGGAACTCTAGTGGCAGCCAAAGAGCTCTGGTCTAAGCCATGGACCTCCAGCCCCATCCCTCCGCTCCTGCCACAGAATTCTGGCTGTGACGCTCCAGCCCCGGAGTACCAGGGAGAGCCCCAGCAGCAGCGGGGACAGGCTGGAGCCCTAGCCCGGTAGTAGCATAGCCACAAAGGGAGGGACCTTCCCTGGTCTGGCAAATCCCCTCGTTTGGGACCAGTCAGGTCCCAGTGGTGCCAGACCAGCAAGAAATCATCTGTATATCGTTCCATCTCACTGTTCACCCCATTTTCCAGATTATTTATGAATATGTTGAACAGTACTGGTGTTCAACACATCATTGGGGGACCCTGGTGTTTACCTCTTTCTATTGTGATAATTAACCATTTATTTGACCCTTTGTTTCCTGTCTTTTAATTATGTATTGGTCCATGAGAGAACCAATGCTCTTCTCCCATGCTTGCTTATTTTAGTAAAAAAGACTTTGGTGAGGGACTTTTTTACAGGCTTTTTGAAAGTCTAATTAAATCTTTGTCCACATTCTCATTGAGGTCCATAGAACTTCTATTAGATTTCTGAGGCATGATTTCCTTTACAAGAGCCATGACGGTTCTTCCACAGCATGCTTATTTTTGTGTGTGATGATTCTGATCTTCAGTGTAGTTTACCTGGTACAGAAGATAGGCTTGCTAACCTGTAATTGTCAGGATCATCTCTGGAGCCTTCTTTAAAAATTGGCATGATTAGCTACTCTCCAGTCATCTGGTTCAGAGTCTAATTTCTGAGAGAGATTACATACTGTTAGTAATTCTGCAGTTGTATATTTGAGTTCCTTAGGAACTCAAATTCTTGGGTGAATTCCAGCTGAGTTTCATGACTTTTTACTGTTTAATTTATCAGTTTGTTCTAAAATGCCCTTTTTTGGCACCTCAGTCAATAGATAGTTCCTCATATTTGTCATTTGAATAGCTCAGTTATGGGACTCTCCTCTGCAATGAAGACTGATGGAAATAATTCATTTAGCCTCTCTGCATGACCATGCTTTTTTCCTTGAGTTTTTCTTCTGTACTTTATTCATCCAGGGACCCCACTGATTGTTTGGCAACCTTCCTGCTTCTAGTGATCTGTTTTTAAATTGCTGTTATTTTTTGAGTTTCTCATCACATTCTTTCTTGGTCTAACATGTACTTTTATACACTTGACTTGCAGCATTTATTGTCCTATATGCCTCTACACACCTTTTTTATGCTGCTCTTTTTGGTGCTTTTTTTAAAAAAAAAAATTGGCATATATATTGAGTTTGAGCTTCTATTATTGTGTTTTAAAATAGGATCTGCAATTTGCAGGCATTCACCTTTGTGTGTGTTTGTTTTAATTTCCTTCATTTTTGTATAGTTCCTCTTTTTGAAGGTATGTGCTACTTAGGTAGGTTTCTTTGGCTTTTATGCCAAACAAGGATGTTAAATTTCATTACATTATGGTTGCTTTTATCAAACAGTGCAACAATATTCCCACTGTTGCACCAGATACTGTACGTCACTGTAAACATCTAACAGGCGTGGCGCCTCAGACGTCCCTCTCTACACCGCACTCCCGTGCCCTCCACCACACCCTGAGTCCCCCCTCTCTCTCTCTCTCTCTCTCTCTCTCTCTCTCTCATCGGACTTCTGCCTACAGAACGCCTCGCGACGGCGTTATTCACGTAGGGTAATGCGGCTGCCAGTTTGTCCTGCGGGGAAAGGAGGGTCTGGGCCCACCCCCTCTCACAGGCCCCAGCCCAGGGCCCTAGAGACAAAGATGCAGTTGTGATCCGGTCCAGCTGGCGGGCGTCCTGCTGTAACGCGCCAGCCCATGGGCTCTCTTTGCCCTCCCTGGGCTAATTCCTCTCCCCGCAGCAGGCGTACCCGCTGGGGCTCTGCCTCACGAGATGACCCCCTCTCTCACCTACCCTCGCCAGGACACATCCGCAACTCTCTCCCTGGGGAGAGCCCTTCTCCCCCCTCCTCTCTGCCAGTGCCAGGTTTAAATCCCCCCGCCGGCGTCGTCCTCCTGGGGCTCCGCCCCTTTTTGGCGTGCTCATGTCCGGGCCGTGTCGCCCCACCCACGATCAGCTCCGGCTGTCGGGGCACGCCCTGAGGTGAGCCTGCGCAGCAGCGAAGGAGCAACCGCCACAACACCGGTATTCCACCCCCGGCGCCGCCAACCAGGCGGCGATCGGCGGGTCAAGGATGCGGGGAGATTTCTTCCCCGTCACAGTCACTTTGAAGTCTAAATCACAAATTGCTTCTTGTCTTATGAGATCCAGGCCATGCTGCTCTGAGAAACAGTCATTTATAATCTCTAGAAATTTTATCTCTGCATCCCTGAGGTGACATGTTCCCAGTTATTATGGAGATAGTCACAATCCCCCGTTGTTGTTTTCTGCCTTGGTAGCCTCTCTGATGTCCCTGAGCATTTTACAGTCCCTATCACTGTCCTGGCCACATAGCTGGTAATATATTCCTACTGCTATACCCTTATAATTCAAGCATGGATTTTCTATCCTTCAAGGTTCCGTGGTATAGTTTGATTCATTTAAGGCAGTGATATTAAATTTTGATTAATCAGATAATTGAGTAGTCGATGGAATCTCCATCAACTACTCAATTAGTTGATAAGGTGGGTTCATGTTATACATGAGCCACAGGCAGCTCCTGTATGTTTCAAAGGGAGAGGCCAGTGGGTTCCCTCTGCCTCTCTTCTTTTGAAATGTACAAGAGCCGCAGGCAGCTCTTGTACATTTCAATGGGAGAGGAACAGCAGTTGGACCGGTGCAAGAGGGACTGTTTCAATCCTTGCTTGTGCCGTTTCCCTGCTGCCCTCTGCCTCCCCTGTGCCCGGGGAGACAGTGTTGGGGTGAGCTGGCTTAAAAGCTGGCTCTCTCCCAGCACCTGCTCGCGCCTGCTTCCCCCAAACCACCACTTGTTGCCTCACTCTGATAGGGGCAGCAAGCAGAGACGTGACTAGTCAAGTTCCGACTCAACTGCCCAATAAGAATTTGGGTATTTTAAAGTTTTTGGGTAATTTAAGGTTTTTGTTATTTATGGCTCTGGCTTTTTCACCTGTAGCACCATTCCCCAATACTTGCTCTGTCATTTCTATACCTTTTGTACCCTGGTCTTACTGTGTTCTGTTCATTCCACCAAATTCCTGTGATGTTTATTATATCATTTGCCTCATTTAATGCCAGGCACTCTTCTTTACCCATCTTAGTATTTAGACATCTCACATTTGTGTATAAGTACTTGCACTTTGTCAGTACAGGCAGTCCCCGGGTTACGTACAAGATAGGGACTGGAGGTTTGTTCTTAAGTTGAATTTGTATGTAAGTCGGAACTGGTACATATTGTACCCCAGGTGTCCCTGATTCAGCCGCTGCTGAAACTGACCAGCGGCTGACTACAGGAAGCTCAAGGCAGAGCTGCTTTGCCCCAGGCTTCCTGGAATCAGCTGCTGATCAGTTTCAGCAGCAGCTGACTTTGGGACACCTGGGGTAGAGCAGCTGGGGGGCTGCCAGGTTGGTCCCCGCAGCGCCCCAGTTGCTCTGTCCCAGGTATCCAGATTCAGCCGCTGTTGAAACTGATCAGGGCTGATTCCAGGAAGCCCGG